TATCAGATGAAACCTTTTTGCAGTGGTTTACGGCGAGGTAAAACGGTGCTTCGTCTGTATTCATTTCATTCGGACGTTTTTCTGCGTAGAACTTGTAAACAAAGACAGGATCTTTTTCCGGCGGATTTGTGGGGATAGCATACATTTTTGGCGTTACTTTTCTAACATCTCTTGGGTTGTCTCCTGTACTTGTTTTCGTTTGTCGCTCAAAATACTCTAAATATTCCTCTCCATTCGCGTTCTTGCGTGGTTTTACGTCGCCCCAGCAAATATCGCGGTGTTCTTTGCAACCACGAAGGCCGAAGTGAATAGTATTGTTAAACCAAACCGTGTTTAGCAACGCTTCGCGACTCGAAATTCCCAAAAGTTCTTTCTCGTAAAGCAGTTTGACTTCATCTTCGCTAAGAGCAACGGAAGCGTTCGGTTTGTTCCCTTTTCCTTTTTGCTTGAGCTCTTTTTGTTTTGATTGCAAAGCTTTTCGGGCACGTTCAAAGCCCTTATCCATCATGATACTAAACCCATTCTTTTTCTTCAAATACCTCTCGAAGCTGGCAAACATAGAACGAAGGGAACTAGCTTCATATTCTCCCTGGTCTTCTTTCTTTCGAACAGAAATAATAAATTCGCTCAGGTATTCATTAAGTTGCTCTACGGAAATGTCCTCGATCCTTCGCAATTCATTTTTCGACGATAAAAATTGTTGAAGAAGTCCAATGTCCTGCAGTGTTTTTTTTCTTTTATTATTATTCTCCTGTTGTTCAATGAATTCGCTTACGGATGGTGTCTTTGCGAAGCGTGAAGCCATTTCAAATCAAAAGTCGAACGGACATCTAAAAAAACTGATTGTTGTTTTCTTGTACGCCAGTGTAAGTAAATACGAAATTTTTCACTAGTGACAAATTCCGTACGTCCAATGAGAAGGCTAATACGACGTTCTTCACTAGTGGCGAACGTCGTATGTCCAATGAGATCCTCAGAACTTTTAGGCATATGGTTTTTATTCGGCAACTTTATCGCGTATAAAATTCAATACTCATATAATAATTATATTTATGCAGGATATCCACGTCATGCACGTGTTTTAACCGAGTGGGGATCAAAACTACAATTATTATTTACAACATTAATTGTCAATATTTAAACAGTATAAAAAATATACAAAATATCGGGGCTTCAGTGACGCAATCTTCAGAAATATTAGGGGCTTGGGCGCTTCGGTGGCACAATCATCAGAGCATGCCCCTTTCACCTATCAGATCGTGGGTTCGATTCTCACTACGGACTCATGCATGACACTTATGTGAAGAGAGTCAGTGCGAAAGTCATGGGTTTTCCCCAGGTACTCCGGTTTCCTCCCACATGGAATGTTGACAGGGTGGGTTAGGATTATCCCCCTAACTGACCCTTCCACCGTAGCTGTGCTCCGTGATCAGACATGAGTGATAAGGTGGCTGCCATAGGCGCCTTTAGAAAGCATTCGACTCGATGAGGTTGAGCTGCGTCCCTCGTAATTCAGCTTAGCTCTTAGCCGCTAGTATGGCGATTAGCACACCCCACTTACTCACTTACTTACCTATATACATGCACTTTACAACAACGATAAAACGAACAATTAATTATAATTTATAAATTATTAATTTAATTAATGAAACATGCCTAATTCGATGGCAAGGAATGGTTATTAATTATCTTATCTTATTTCATACATATACACACACATACATACAAAAATTTATTTCTACACGCTGGCCTCAACAACTCAGAGTTGATTTCCATGAGGGGCGTGATTTTAGAAAGAATATAGAAATAAACTATATACAAAAATACAAAAACAAAGAAAGAAGGAACTACTATATAGGCAACAGGCGAGCCAATCATTTTTAAGTGCTTGCCTGATTAATAGTTCTTTGAAAGAACTTAAAGATTCCTCTACTTTTACTTCATACAGTAGATTATTCTATGCTACCGCTCCGTCATATTTGAAGCATCTTTTGCCAAAATCCGTATTCGGTTTATGACGAAACAAATCTGTTTCTCTATTTCTGTAAGATCATAAGTATTATCACATTCATTATCATCAAAAGGATGTTCCTAGATTCGGTGCGGTGTGGTTATTCAGAATTTTATACATAAGAACAGATTTTAGATTATTTCGCCTTAGTTCTAGGTGTTTCCAATCCAGACTTTCGAGTAAATAAACCGACCGAACTTCGTAAGTTGCACCAGATTAATCTTGCAGCCCAATTTTGTAATTTCTGCAACCTGTTCTTGAGACCTATGCACAGTTTCTCAGAAAGGGCTGCAGTAATCAAATAATTATGAAATCTAATAATTAGCAGCATAAAATCTGCAACATATAGCTAATGCTTTCTTTTTGGTACACCCTGTTTAGTATAATGTACAATATGCATGTTCTGCAATATGCATGTTTCATGTTTTGGCGTCCGACGCCTCATCAGTGCAGCTTGGTATGTCATAGGAAAAGACCACGGTATTTATATACACATGAACTTGCTCCCACTAAGCGCATGTCGTACAACACGCCACTGTGCAACGCATTCAGACCATGATCGGAATGTAATGGGCCGCAATGTTCATCTATGCCCCATCTTAAATACTTTTATCAGGGCCATTCCTAGACGCGATAGTTGGGGGAGGGGTTATATATTTATATATTATGTTCACATACCCTAAAAACAATCGCTTTCAAAAGAAATCCATCGGGCAGAACACGAATATATGAATATACACCCCTCCCCCAATTATCGCGTTAGGAACGGTCCTGAATTTTACACAACCTAAGATATGTTGCTTGTTGGAAAGCTTATCTGAACTATAATTCCTGTTAACCTTAGGCGTTGGTGTACTTTTATTCACTTTGCCTCATTTCATGGCTGGACCGTATGACGTTCCCCACTTTCAAGCTGGTAAAAGTGGAATGTGTTCATCGTTCAAAAACAGTACTGCGTCAGGGTCGTGTGACAGCAACTACAGTGGAGCTGTGTGGTACTATATGGTGATATTTGTCATCGCACAGTTTATCCATGGTGCTGGTGTTTGTCCACTGTATCCATTGGTGCCTGCTTACTTGGATGAAAATGTGGAACCGAGACAAATGCCTATATATCTTGGTCTGTGGTATCTTTCTTCATTCCTAGGACCGGGAATTGGGGCATTGTTGGGCGGGCAGTTTCTTAGCGTGTTTGTCGACATTGAACAGGTAAATTTAAAAAGAAAATAGAAAACATAGACAACTTAAACATAATGGTTGGCAAAGGGTATTTTTGTGAGCTTAGATTGACGATATCTACTCCTGTTAAATGACGGATTTTTGTATCGCGAAACGTGATTTTTATCCGAAGCGTTGACCTGTGAATTATTTTGGGTTTTTCTTATTGATATTAATTTTAGAAAAGGGCGAAAGGCGTTTTCGTAAAAAGGTTAACTTTTTACAAGTGAAAAAGCAAAATGGCTATTTTATTTCAAGTGAAATGTAACCCGAATCCCGTCCTTCGCTCCCTCATTTACCATGGGCGGTTTAGTCAGGGAATAGGATTTCTAAGAATCTGTAAGTCATACAGTGGCTGCTTGGTTGATTTGATTTTCTTTGAAAAACCGGATCGAACCAAGCGATTTTACCAGTCAAAATTTGAATATTGAGTTATGGTATACAGTATACGACTTAAGAGATGATCAAAATAATTATCAACTTTATAAAATGTTTAATTAAACTTAATACTTGCATTAAATATCTTCATTTTGTGAAACATGCGAGAGGAAAAATTTTGCATCCAAATCAATTCATTCGACAATACGTCTACTAATGTTATTTTGAGCAAAATTACAAACTTCACAAAAAAAAAGTATTGCAAGCTAGTTTAAATTCACACCTCAGATAAGCTCTCGAATTTTAATATTTCGGGTCCTTTTGTTCGTCTGCTTTTGAGGTAAACGTGTTATTTTTCATACTTTGTTTCATACAGCCAAGTGGATTAAACCTTACCCCAAAGGATCCTCGTTGGATAGGAGCTTGGTGGTTGGGATTTCTTGTCTTTGGTTTGTTATTTTTCCTTCTGGCGATTACTATATCAGGATTTCCCAGTTCGTTACCTGGAGCCAAGGAACGTCGTGAAAAACACATCCGTCAGGGGAACCTAAACAAAAAAAGCGACATCAAAGAAGCAAGGCTTAAAGAAATTCTTCCAGAACTTAAATCTCTTCTTTTGAACCGGACATTGCTGTTTAACACCCTAGGTGTTTCTGTGGGGTTAATTTTCATAGGCTCGTTGATTCCATTTTTGGGAAAGATACTTCAGTTAAAGTTTGGTTTGGACTCAGTAAAAAATGGATATCTTTTGTCGGCCGTTATGACACCTACAATAATGGGTATGTAGGTATTTATTACAGTCATTTTAATTTAACCTATTTCCATCGTCTTTTGGCTTACGTATTGATCAGAACAGAAATACATGTATGCATATAAGATTTAATTTGAATTTTTTTCTGAAATAAGAGAAGTATTGTGTTTTTTGTCTTAAGCAAAATATGATTTTCAAGTTGTGTTGACCTTGCTGTTTATATAATTATTTATTTTCTATATATCTTCGAGATAAGCCTACTCTGGGGTAGTAGGCCTAATTCTCCTTATCTGAGTGTACGTGATTTTAGGCGTCGCCGAACTTTCAACAATTTAAGACGATTCGAGGCGACTCAGGCGAGTAAAGAGCGAGTCTCTACAAAAATCAAACATACCGCGGCAAGGCTCAAAATTTTAAATTCGCTCTACTTTTGAATTTAAGTTAACTATGACAAAGTATGAAACGTCATGCGGTTAGTTTTTAAAAATACTCTTTTGTTTATGAAAAAAAGGAAAAAAAATATTTCAGCTGTGAGGACCGATTTTCGCAATCGAAAAATGGCCGAAATTGCGTATGTTTACTTAATCCTGGTATCCAAACCGTAAATCCAAATAGCCTTATTATATTATACTTTCTGCTAAAGATACATCACTCCCTCGTTTATTAAAAGTGGTTTTATGATAATTGACCAACTGAACACATTTGTGCACAATAAAGAGCGACGGGTACTGATCTTTATTGTTTGTCATTGCGTGTAAAAAGTGACAGATTTCTCCATTTGCCATCCTTTCAAATCTTATGAGATTTTGCACAAGCACTATTGGAAAACTGCTCTTTTCAGGAATGTATAATTTATTTTGGGCAAATAAATTCACGCGCTACGAGAAAGAGTTAACTTTGGTTCATTAAATATGCAAAAATCACTGTTTGGCAATTGACCATTTGCGCAATAGACTAAATTTTGATCTCAACAAGTCTAGACAAAAATTTCATCACAGCTTGAAAGAGCATCACAAAATTAGTAATATTTCAAAATTTCGTGACGAAATGTTGTAAAATGCGGATAATATAGCCTTGCGAAATTTGTAATTTTCAGTCATTTTAGATTACAAACGGGAAATTGCAACATGAGCTCCACCTTTGAATTTACTATATGAGTAAATTCTTAAACACGTCCGAATTTATCATTATGATAAATTCGCGGCACATTTTGAATTTATCAATAGAGTTAATCATAAAAAACACAATCATTGCACAAGGTTTCTTGTTATAAATGTAATGGCATTAAACGGGAGGCTGGTCGCGCAGGGGTGGGGTGTTTAAAAAAGTTTTAAAAAGTTTTAAAAGAGTTTTGAAAAGCAAAAAAAGTTTAAAAAGTTAGATTTTTAAAAAAGTTAAAAAAATTTAAAAAGTTAAAAAATTGAGGGTTAGGGGTTAAGGGTTCGGGGTTAGTGGTTAGGGTTGGGGTTAGGGTTAGTGTTAGGTGCCGCGAATTTATTATTATGATAAATTCAAAATTTGTCGCGAATTTATCATAATGATAAATTCGGACGTGTTTAAGAATTTACTCATATAGTAAATTCAAAGGTGGAGCTC